TGAAAAAACCATTAGCTTTGACTACATGGACCTTTGTCAGTAAGGTAATGTCTCTGCTTTTTAATATGCTGTCTAGGTTTGTCATCGCTTTTCTTCCAAGGAGCAAGTGTCTTGTAATTTCATGGCTCCATTCACCATCCAAAGTGATTTTGGAGCCCAAGAAAATGAAGTTTGTCACTGTTTCCATGTTTCCCCATCTATTTGCCATGAAGTAATGGGACTGGATGCCATGATCTTAGTTTTTTGAATGTTGAATTTCAAGCCAGCTTTTTCACTCTCTTCTTTCACCCTTATCAAGAAGCTCTTTAATCCCTCTTCGCTTTTTGCCAAAAGAGCAGTGTCATCTGCATATCTGAGGTTACTGATATTTCTCCTGGCACTCCTGATTCCAGCTTGTGCTTCATCCAGCCCTGCATTTCACATGAAGTTAAATAAGCAGGGTGACAATATAGCGGGTGACTTGACGTACTCCTTTCCCAATTTGGAACCAGTCTGTTGTTCCATGTCCATTTCTAACTGTTGCTTCCTGACCTGCAAACAGTTTCACAGGAGGCAGGTAAGGTGATCTGGTATTTCCAACTCTTTAAGAATCTTCCACAGTTTGTTGTGATCCACATAGTCAAAGGCTTTAGCATAGTCAATGGAGCAGTAGATGTTTTTCTGGAATTTTCTAGCTTTTTCTATGATCCAACGTATGTTGGCAATTTGATCTCTGGTTCCTCTGCCTTTTCTAAATCCAACTGAACATCTGGAAATTCTCATTCACATACTGTTTAAGCCTAGCTTGAAGGATTTTGAGCATTACTTCGCTAGCGTGTGAGGTGAATGCAATTGTGTGGTGGTTAGAACATTCTTTGATATTGCTCTTCTTTGGGATTTGAATGCAAACTGACCTTTTCCATCCTGTGGCCACTGTTGAGTTTTCCAAATTTTCTAGCAAGTTGAGTGCCACACTTTAACAGCATCATCTTTTAGGATTGGAAATAGCTCAGCTGGAATTCCATCACCTTCTCTAGCTTTGTTCTTAGTGATGCTTCCTAAGGCCCACTTGACTTCATACTCCAGGACGTCTGGCTCTAGGTGAACACCCACACCATTATGTTTATCCAGATCATTAAGATCTTTAAGACTCGGACAGACGTCAGAGTGAGTAATAAAGTCTTACTTCATTTTCTTTGAGTTATAAGAGGGATCAAGATATTTTTTTCCAAAACCTGTATGCTGAATCATGGCAGAAACTGAATAATTATTTGTTGAGATGAACTAAGTCAGTTATTTCTTTGTTGTCTTTAAAAATGCACCCAAAGCTCCTTCCTTCTGGACAGAGATATACTTAATTTCCTCCCCAAGTACAATGAGGTTTTATGGGGATTTTTCTTTTTAAATTAGATTTTAATATATTAAATATTTGAATATATAATGCTATTAATTTATATAGTATCTCTTTTGCAGAAATGATTCATTTAATTAGGGTTGACTACATAGTTAATAATGACTGTGAAATGTCATCTCATAATTTTATAACCATTCAGTTTTCAAACTATTGAGTATGCAGATGCTGCAATATATATTAGGGATACAGATATGAGCCCCAAATAAGTGCTATTCTTAAGAAACCATCAGATAACAATTAGGAGTCAGTTACATCACTTTCAATAATTCAGGAGAATAATGTCATATATTTTCTAATATTTAAAGCTCTGGGCAACCACTAGAGTACCTATTTTCTGGACCCACACAACTTAATTGATGAAAGTTAATCAGGGATTACCTGGTGGATCAGTCAGTAAAGAATCCACCTGCAATACAGGAGACCTGGGTTTGATTCCTGGGTTGGGAAGATCCCCTGGAGGAAGGCGTGGCAAACCACTCTAGTATTCTGGCCTGGAGAATTCCCATGGACGAGGAGCCTGGTGGGCTGCAGGTTGTGGGGTTGCAGCGCTGGACACGACTGAGCGACTAAGCACAGCACAGAACAATCAGTGTTCACCGGACAGAACACTATTCTAGGCTTTTTACTGATACCAACTCATGTAATTCTCTACAATTCTGCCAGATAGACATCATCAATAGCTTCATTTTTTTTCAGAGATTGCCTGCTGCAGGTCACCTTGCTAGAAAGTTCCAGAGTCTGTACTTAAGCTCTGGCAATTCTGGCTCCAGGGTCTAAGTTTTTAAACCTTTTACATACTGTCTCTTGAACAGGAGCTCTCTTACTGTGACTTAATTCCTGCTAAACACCCCTCTAGGTAAGAGGCTACCTGATGTTGTCCAGGGCATGCTGCTGAATGCTTGCTGACTGTGAGCAGTCCCACTGGGCCAGTCACGCCCTGTTCCCTCTCTGACCCAGGGTTCAGCCCCATGCTTTGTTTATGCCAGCTGTTGAGTGAATATTCATAACTCTGTGAAGTGAATATTCATGTCTCTTCTGCCCTGAAGCCTGCAACCCATGATACTCAGGAGATGGATTAGGACGGTACCCCCTGGGAAACCATGGTAAGGAGCCGCACACAGGGTCCTTAAAGAGAGAGGAGGAGGGAGAGGTGGGTGAGGCTCAGAATTTTGCCCTTAAGACCCTGAGAAGGGGCGTCTCTAGAAACCTCCAGGGCGTTGAAAGTGAAAGTGGAAGTATTAGTTGCATCCGACTGTCTGCCACCCCATGGACTATAGCCTGCCAGGCTCCTCTGTCCATGGGATTCTCCAGGCAAGAATATTGGAGTGGGCTGCCATTCCTTTCTCCAGAGGATCTTCCTGACCTAAGGATCAAACCTGGGTCTCCTGCAATGCAGACGGATTCTCTACCATCTGAGCCACAAGGGAAGCCAGGGCTTTGGGTCTTTCCAAATCCCTTTTCTGAGAATTCTCTTTCAGGCTTGAGAGTCCTTCAATCCAGTTGACTGATCGAAATCTCATTAATTCAGAAGACTTATGGAAAGGAAACAATTCGTATAATATTGAATTTTAAAATAGTTTTGCAACAGTGTGTCCTATGATGTTTCTACATAAGTAAGCAAATTAGAATAGTTTTAAAATGCAGGCTTTTTGAAGGATGAGAGGTTTAAATCAACTGATACTGATAAACTAACTGATGGTGAGCCCCAAGTGACACCCTGTGAATGGAGAAAGTTAGCAAGAACAGAAAAGAGGACTAAACGTCACGTTCTGAGGGCAGGCTCACTCTCAGCATCATGAGTTTAAGTATTTGCCCCCAGTGTGTATCATCTCCAGCTGTGTTTAGGATACCTTCCACCATATACACACTTAAAAGAAAAACAGATTGCACCTAGAAAAATGTGCCTCCAAGTGCTTTTAAGCAAAAGGATTCAGGAAGGCCATTCTATGTGGTTGCACTTCCACATGGAAGCACCCACCCTCCACAAATGCCTCATCAGGCTTTTAAGAAGGTTGCATGGAAATGCAACAAAAGGGCCTCTAGGCAGTACCCAATCAGCCCTGTCTGCAATCTTCTAGACAAAGGCAGGCATGGGCAGGACTCCTACAGTGAGACAAGACTATCCCTGAGTTCTGAGCAGACTGCTGCTCACAACACTTGGAGCATGGAACAGTTTGAAACCCAGTTTTAAAAGTAAAAATTCATTTTCTGCAACACATCACAAGGCAATTTTCTTGGCTGTGGAAACTACTCCCTAATGATAAGCCCACATGCCTTCCAGCCTCCCACCCATCCAAGGTGAGCGTCTCCATGTGTCTCTCTAGAGACTGTAGGCATGTTTGCAGGACGTCTTGAGACACAGGAGAAGGTAGCAGTGCATGAAGACAGATCTTAAACATCCAGGCATCTGTCTGCTTGCACATTCCTTGGTCCATGAGGCTAGGTAGAGAGGAGGGAAGCTGGCCCCATGAGGACTGGCTGCATATCCGTGGCATAGCAGGCATCCCACGAGGAGGAGGCAAGGGGCGTGGTCAGCTGTGCCCAGGCCAGGCCCCTCCTACAGGCTTGGCGCAGCACTGCCAGGGTGCAGAGCCGTCACCTCAGCCCGCCTGGGAGGCAGTGCGTGGGCAGAGCAGAGGCCGAAGCCTTCACAGAGGGAGAGCATCTCGCTTAAGCTGAAGAGTGAAGGTGGCCAGGTTAAGGGAGACAGGCAGCCGTGAGTCCCGGGCACTCAGGCTAGAGGCCACAGGCAGAGTGCAGGCCATGGGCTACACGAATGCCAGTACAAGACCAGGCTAACCACTTTCCACTTGGTGTGGTTTAAGCTGCATGGTCAAGAAAACACTGAGGTGGGAGGTCCCAGCTCTGCCCTCACTGAGAAGCCTCCACCCAGAGTTTGTGGCCTTTAGGATAACCTTCAGTTTACAGAGCACTTCCCTTTATCCTCTCAGCTTCAACGCAGCCTTTAACAAGAACACTGAGAAAGCACCACCCACTGTAAGAGACACGAATGGAAGTTTTAAAAAAACCTCAGCAAGCACAGACTTCTCAGTCTTCAGACGGTTGAAACAAAGATGACAATGAAACCCAGGATGGGATGGCTTCCCAGATGACAGCAGGAGCAGATGACTGTGCCTGAGAGGCACCACTAACGGCAGGGGCTAATGTTCCTGGAACCGGGGCTGACTGCCAGCCCAGAAGACAGGAGAAGATCTCTTACTTTGGAGAGCACAGCACTTGCCTCCTCAAGTCTTCCTCCCTCCCCTTCCTTCCTGCCTCCAAGGCTGTCAGTGGCCTCTGGTCTGCCCAGAGAGAAAGTTGTTTATGTTATCAAACAATGGTTGGTTAAATTCAACCTCAGCCTTTTAACTTCTCAGTAATAAGCACACAGAGTATCTCCTGGTCAGCTGTTCCTTCCTACTCATCAGAGCTTATCCATTCCCTCTAGATATGGTGAAAGGGGTACAGAAGATGATGAATGACTGATGCTGGTCCTTATTTGGGTGACCGAGCACTGTGAATCAGCAGCAAAGTATTTCACAATGACAGCGATGTGGCCTAGGCAGCCAGTATCCCTCCAGAGAGCGTGAGGGGACACAGGGCTCACCTGTGGCAAAGACGACATTCCTGGAGACCAGACGATGTTCCACGATGGAGAACTGCGGGAGCTCAATCCTTTCCACGCCGGTCACAGCCTTATCACCCCCGCGCCAGTAAAACTCAATGTCATCTGTGGTGTAGCCATCTGCCAGGAGACAGAAGCAGGGACAGCACAGAAATGAAGCATCATTTTGTCTAAAGAAACTGTCACTAGTAAAACAGAAGTAACAGCTTGCCCACGTGTGAAGGAAATGTATTGATGTGCTTGTCTCTGCATTATCATTAGAAAAACTAACTTTTGGATATTCTTGTGTTACCTTTGCTGTACAATTTGGACCAGGCTGATGTTGAAAAGCAGAGAGACTGGAGAGGCTGAGCACTCTGATCAAAGTTCTGCCTGGAAAGCCTAACTGTGGGGCTGACCTGGACTTTGCACAGAAATGAAGTAAAAACATACTCACAGCACTGAATAAGATGGTTGGAAGAAAAAGTAAAAACTCTAAAGAATTCTGGAAAGGCAGCTCTCTCAACAACTATGGAAAGGTTAGAACACTGAGGGTGAACTTGCCCAATCCATGTTTCACAACTGCCGGGCCATTTTGGATGGTGTCATAAGGTGTTCCTGGCCATGAGCTGGGCCGACCTTAGAAATGCCTTTTGTGGGGACTCTCTTGGCCCTTAGAGATTTGAGCAGTGCTCTCAGCAGAAAGAGGAATGGTTAGCCAGATTATAGCTTCAAAATCAATTCTTGGCACGGTCTTGTGCTCACTTGGTAATCAATCAATGCTTCTTGAGAATGACGAAATAGGAAAATAGTATCTGATGTTATTTGCAGCACTCAGGAGTCTTCTAAAGAATTGGGTCAACTTTAGTGGTAAAGTCAATTAAAAATCACACCTGTAGAAAAACAGCCTATGAATATAAAAACTTTTTTATTTGAACGCATAATACGAGGCAGACACGAAATATCTGACGTTATACAAACAGACCACAGCTGTGGGGATTACTGCCCCCACAGTCCCCGCCATCCCCTGGTCCGTCTGCTGTGCTCCCTCTGGGATCGCGGTGGGCACACTTTCTGTCTCCACCCTCCCCTCCGACTGCATGGCACTCTATTCTCAGCCAGCGGCCATGGCAATCGCTAGTAAAGCATAGATCTCACCAAGTCACGCTTCTGCTTAAAGCCCTTAAACGTTCCCAATGCAGCTAGCAAAACAAGTCCAAAGTCCTTTCAAGGACCCCAAGAATCGACAAGGCTGACCCCTCTGTACATGCCCCCTCCCCTGCACACAGAGTCCAGCCTCTCTGGCCTTCCAGCTGTGGTTCAGACCAGCATGCTGTGTGCAGAGCTTACATGCCCTCTGAGGGTACATCTAAATCTTCAAGTGGCCCACTCTTTCATACATTTGCATCTTGACTTTAATGAAAGGTTTTGCATACATGTGTAGTCAGGTCACCAGAAAACTGGGAGAATCCCTCTTCTGTTCAACTGCTTTAAAAAGGACCTTCCTGCCCATCCTCCACTTCAATTAAAGATTGTGGTAATAGATTCTACAGTCTCCAAGGCCACTCATTATGGTTCCCAGTTGGAATAGGAGTTGCTCCCTCACTTAGATCCCAAATTTACCTTCCTGAAACTTTCATCAACTCACTGGAGCTGTGTCCTCTAACCACACAGAATCTACTTAACTTCCTAAAGTAGCCCTTCAACTATTAGCCCTTCAACATCATCTTTCCCTGAAGTCATCATGCTAAATATCCTGTGCATCCCCGGGCATGATCTCACGTCCCTTACCTTCTGAAAGCACAGCTCTCAGCAATCACAGCCATCGTATTGTGTGGGAGCAAGGGGCACATTGAGAGGTGTAAACACGAGCCTGCCACCAGGGCAGCTCCCCAGCGTGTTCATCCACTAAGACATTCACTTCTCACCATACATGCAATAAACGCATGGCAAAGTCAGTCATTTGCCATCCCTCCGAATTTAATACAAATGCTGGCAACATAAATCCACCTGAGGCTAACAATGAAGCGATGTACAGCAAGCCAGGAGAAGACATAGTGGTGGCAGCCGTATCTGGGTATGCCAGGGGTCAGGTCAGGGAGCAGGACATCTGCTTCTGACACTATGTGGATGCAGCTCTTGCCCCACAAGAGAAGTGCTACTCAACACTGCATTATCAATAAGGCATCTGAATACTCTTCAAATTGAAGAAAATTGCCAAGACGTAAAAATAGCTGGCTTGTAAAACTGAGCTCCTAATGCGAAATGAGGTTTACTCCAACTGCAGAGGGTCCCGGGAGCACAGCAACTTGCGCGTGATGGAGCACAATGTGAGACATCGCCTCTCAGAGTTCATTTGCTTCTCACAGAAGAGACCGAGATGGAGAGCATTTGTCTTCTTTTATTTCAGAACAGCAGACAGACTCTTAGTCAAATTAGAGTGGAGAACTCTTTATACTGAGCCTCTCTGTCTGTCTGTCTCTCTCTCTTGCCCTCTCTCTACCATGAAAGCAAAATTTGCAGAGTGGAGGATTAAACCTCTAATCTTTAAGACAGTTAAAAACTATGTCATAAAAAATTATATATTCCTTGCTAAATAATGATAAGAAGGCCTAAAACACAAAGTGGATGAAAAAGAAATATAGATACACACAGCTTTCAATCTCCAGGGTGCAGTTCTGCTCATCCAAGGGGTATCTTCTCAGGTCCATCATGCACGCTGCAGTCGTTGTGATTCTGAAACACACAGAGAAAGGGCAGATGGGATGAGAAATACAGCAGAAAAACTGCTCCTAGATAAACACTGAGTAACCAGAAGGTAGGACCCCTTTCCTCAAAGCATACCTGATTAAATATATTTCATGATATATACTAAATGAATAGCTTTTCATTATACTGCAGGCCTACTTTATCCAAAACAGCAACATATATATATATAATTTTATCTTGTTAACTTTTTTTTTATTCTGTCTCCTTGTCTAACTTTTATTGCACAGAGAAAATATACCTGGTAGTAACACCCTTGATTTAGATTAAAACTGAATTTTTTGGCTTTCAGTGTGAAATATTCATGTAGCTCCCAATCCACAGGCTACACTTTGGAACTCTGAGCCAAACTTCTACTTGATTCTATTTTATTACAGTTGTCTGTTGGGCTAATAATACTCCAGGCCTTTTCACCACAAGATCATCTATCTTTTCAAAGAGAATATTTGGCTTCCACATTATTGATTATGAATCAAAATTCAGTGGGTTAGTATCCCTTGAGGTCAACTGCAACCATAGAAAGGATTTATATTGTGACCTAAGGATAGTTAAGCCTCTACTGGGCAATGGTTAAACCCACTGTACATGAAGATAAGAAACATTAAGTTCATTTCCTACTCTGCCAAAAGCCTCATTTTAGAGAAACCAACCTACTTAAAGCCTCGGTTGAAAATGCAATGATTAGGCTACCATGTTTTATTCTCTTTCTAGAATTCCCAGCCCTTCTGCATTCCCTGCCCTTCTGCCTCATTTTAGAGAAACCAACCTACTCAAAGCCTCTGTTGAAAATGCAATGATTAGGCTACCTTGTTTCATTCTCTTTCTAGAATTCCCAGCCCTTCTGAACCACAGACCCAGCTTAACATACTGGGCTGGGTCCCTGATTCAAGGACAGCCAAGAATGAGGCGACCAAGAGTGTAGGATGCAGCTTGACAAAAGGCAAAACAGAGCTAAATGAATTCCCTTTCATGGGGGTGAATTAAAGATGAGAATAGAGCTGAAGTTTCAAGTTCATGAATTAGAGGTTTGTGATGCCATTTTTGAACTGGAGAGTCAGGCATAAGAAAGCATAACAGAGGTGGACACAATGCAGGGGGTCAATGATAAGGAGACAGCACTACTAAGGCTGGGCCACAGCACACAGTGTTGAGGGACATGCACAACACACCTCAGGGAACAGTGTATCAGAGCTAATGTGGAAGTTGTGTGAATGGAAGCCTGGGCTGTGCTCATTCAGTGGTGAATCTTAAGCAGGAAGAAGTGAGAATGTCTTCTCCTGAGATCCCTGGAGTTACACTGAACTTCCAGACATTATTAAGGTCTACCTTTCTCAAAGCCTAGTATCAAGTTTTCTCTGGATAGACTCCCACGTGAACATCATTCATAATAAACCTTCTACTACTTAGGCAACATGAGCAAGTTCTGCTGCAAAACACGTGTCAGACACCAGGCATGTGCCACTTATGTTAGGATTGTCTCACTGAACCTAAATGCAGGTGCTAAAGGAACAGAGGAAAGCATGTCCTTCTGTTAGCACTGGGTTAAGCAGCAGGTTGAGGAAAATTCTAATTTCCAATGGCTGAGCAGTACAGTGAGGGAAAATATCAATCTATTTGGCAATGATGGGTCAATGCTATTTTTTGCTCTACAAATAGCATGCAAGTGCCGTGCAGACATATGCTGTAAGATCCACACCAGTGGTGAAAGTATGTCCTTTCCAAATGTCATAACACTTTCAATCATCATTCCAAAGAGTGGATTACATTCTATCCAAAGTCAACAAATAGCTCTTTGGTATATTTTTCTATAGCATCTGACTTCCTAGCCAACTGAAGAACAAGCCTCACACTTTGAAATTCTGACATGTTTTATGGCAGGCTGTCAACCCGACATCCATGCAAGATGCCTATAAGGCAAAATTAGAATAAAGTTCTGTTAAAATTATAAATTTTTGTAAAGAGGAGAAAAAGATCTCTATTGGAAATGCTAAAATTTTAAAACTTTCCTACATGTTTTAGTACGTATTCACTTCACGAGTCAATAACCGAGATAACCATTTTTGTTTCTTTTCCTTTTTTGTTCCCAATTATCATCATTAAAACACATACACACACACAAAAGCACACACACACACATGCAAATTCTGTAGGGACTCACATGTATTGTGACTTATGTAGAGTATTTCATAGGAATCATTGGAAATGGGAATCATGAAGCTAGTAGAATTGGTGAGTATCCTCAGTACAGCTGCTGTCCTGTCTTCTTCCAGTATCAAACTGACTATCATATGGAGTTCTGTTCCTACAGACTTGGGGAATAAGGTATAAACATCTATGCACTACTCTTCTTCCCATGGAAGAAATACACAGAAAACCCTCTTGTGGTAGAAAGTTAAGTCATGAGAGCCTATTCAGGACACAGTGTCTCCCACTGAGACAGAAAGGCAAGAAAAAAAGAAACAGGGGAGTAGAGAGATCAAGAAGAACAGAGCAGGCTAGAGCCTCCACACCATCAATCACGTTGACTAAACTCATAACAGGTTGGAGATTGGACTTTTGCAGTGAAATGACCAAATTTTGTGCCCCAGGGACTTTGCAGAAGCTATAGGAGGGAATTTCATAGTCTACAGAACTGAGAACTCAAGTCTAGTTAACAAAGATGGACCAAAGGCAGGGAAGCCCCAGTAGCATTCAAGCTCTAGCTGCATAATCCCTGACATGCAAGCATGTGTGCACGCACACACAGGCACATACATTTCATTTTTTTTTTAATCAGTTTTATTTGTCCTGAGAAGTGACTTTAACCAACAACTAGCTCCACTTCCATTTGAAAGCTGACAATTCCACTCCTATTTCTAAGAAATAGTGGTGAAGTCAATAAGAAATATTGGGTGAAGATTCTCTCCAGTAGATCCTCTTTTTTCAGTCAGAGCATGCAGTCACATCTGCACTTTACGTAAGACTAGTTGCAAGTTCACTTTGTGCCAAGCTCTGGGCCCAGTACTTGTGAATTCCTGCATTCCATCTCACAACAACCACACTGTAGAGGTATTCATCTTCTTCCCATTTTGAAGATGAGCAAACCAATGCTTGGAAAGAGTAAGGATGTTGGTCACATACAATGCTACTGGAAGGCCAATTGTGTGGCACTGAGATCCAGCCAATCTGAAACCTGCATTCACTCTTCTATGTCCTTGATACCTTGTCTGCCTTAAATTACAAAATATATTCACCTTTTAAAAGCCTACTTCTTTTTTTCCAAAGAAGAGCAAGTATGGTATAGAAATATGTCACATGTACATATTTGTGATATATATGATCACCAAAGTACACACACACATAAACTGTATCCGTGCATATGTCTCATATATATGACAAGTTGGAAATATACCATGTAAAGGGAGAAAATGAATATTTCCATGCTACACCTGCAGTAACAGCAGTGGCATTCTGCCCCTTGTGGAATATGGTACAGTTTAGCGGGTAGCCCTGTGTAAGTGATATGTCCCTAAAGATATGTTTAGCAGTCCAAAGCATGAAAAGTCAAGAAATAATGTGTACTTTATTAGGGGAGTATCATCTCAGCAATTTTAAAATCTGTAATGGAACATCTGCCATCTTTGGACACCGTCTAGAAACTACTTCTGGAAAGAACGGCTCTCAGCAGGTCAAAATGCTCTCACTTTCTCAATTATATCAAGCTTATGAGATGTACTTTGGTGTCGGCACTTCCACTGTTAAAATTCCAACAATTAAAAAGAATAGTAAGTGCAGATGCAAACTCTTCATGTCATGAAGATTTTGTCAATCTGCACAAACAGAGATTTCTCCACAGAGCACTGGAAAGGCTGTGGTGAAAATACTGCTCTTGGCTGGTCAGGTACACATCTACTATTACCAACAACACTTACCTGAAATGCCAGCTCTTTGGCCAAGGTACAACAGTGCTCCCTGTCCTTGCTGGGAAAGGGGGACTCTGGGACCCACACCTACAATGAATCACAGGGCAACACACACACTATCCTCCCCACTTGCACAGATATTTTACATTCATGGTTAACACCAGATAGAACAGAGCTTCAAATGTTCTTGACTAGCTTTCTCCGAGGACTTGCAGAACCAAAGTATTTCAGTTCTGCTGTCTTTCCTCTCACCACCCATCTTACTGTTGTCATCACACTTAGGACCGTTTATACTTAGAGTGTCCTTCCGTTTGTTGACTTGCAGGTCCCTTGCTCATCCTTAGATGGACCTGGAGAAGAGCTTGATCCCCTGGAACCATCAGTACTTAGAACATCAGCCACAGGCACACAGCAGGTGTCCCATAGATGTTCACTGAGCAAAAATGACTTAGAAAATGTGGGAACCAGGAGTAACAGGCAGAGCAGAACTCAAGGAAAACATGGAAAGAAAAAGAAGTGGCTTGGCCCTTCCTGGTTTCAATCCCCTAAATCGCAGAGCCAGAGGGGACACTCACCCTCTTGCAAGCACTGCCAGTAGGAGCTCGGGCCTTGCACTTTTACTGACACCCTGAGAGGCTACCTGGGCTCACTGGTCAAGATCCTTGGGTGATACTCTATGTGCTGATAGCCTGGTGGTGTCTGTGAACCCTTCGATTGCAGAATAAATCCTTAGCAGGCTGATTTTCATGCGTGTGAGTTTTTCAGCTTCCATGCTCATGAGGATCACAGCAAAATGCTGCCATTGTTGACGTCATGGCCTTTTAATTAAAATCTTGTTAAACAGGACCAGGAGCAAGTTAGCAGGACCTCCTGTGTGACTTCTGGCTTGCACTGGGGTTCTCAAATGTCTGAGAAGTCTGGCAATGGTTGCTACTTATGCTCACAGAACAGTTGCACACTCAGGGCACTGCCTTATGGGTAGCCATTTAGCCTTCTGCAACTACTCCCATGTAACTTACACTTATCTACAATTCTGTATTGACTCCAGGAGTACCAAGCAGTGGAGAC